GTATAGCATCATGGTAGGAAAAGCCATCACTGCTGCCGAAATGGAGGTCACAGGTCAAAGGTCAATGGGCACAGGGCCAGATTTTAGACATTTTCTGAGGACAGTTCTGACGGAGCGATTGAAAAAACTTTTTTGTTTCAGCGTGACCTAGCATTTTTATGGCATTATTGAAAGGGACATGAAATCTACTTTCTGCTGACATGCGAAGCAGTAAGTGTCAGATAACCTTTGACCCTCAAGAGGAGGTTAAACATGGATTTGTTGACTGTCTTTAGAAAGAATTTGACTGCCGGGTTTCCTAGTAGAATCTATACATGCCTGGATGTATGAGGCTACAATGTCACAGTGAAATTTCAAAAGCTAAATTCTGGTTAAAGAAGGTTTATGCTCCTTAAAATCGCTATAATTTATATGGCATTCTGTACTGTCAGTATGTTACAGTAACGTATGCCACTGCCAGTGGCTACTGCCAGTGCATGTGTTGGTGGATACTGTGGAGTTTTTGCCTTAATTGTGTTACAGGTGGCAGCTCTCTATTGCGCAGCCTGTAGGCTTGCGTAGGTAAATGGATGAGTGCTACCATATTCTGTCTTGCAGAGAGTTGTTGCTACTACGTATGATGGGAGCTTCATCTTTAATCTGAAGACACTTAAACGTACGCGCCATCTCGTGGCCAACTTCATAACGATCCCAACGAACATTCTTTGAAACATTCCTGATACCATCCCTGTGCATTCCACGTTTTCGGCGTGTATGTGAACACATTTTTGGACTAACAGGGTTTACTAGAATCCCACCACTCCACCACAGAGTCACCGCAGTAGACGTTAGATGAGCGCTGTCGCTCTGCCGGCACTTTTATGCGTTAAATTGCTGCATAATACTTCCTATATTCCTATATTGTTCGATGTGATCATACACTCATGACTCATACATAGCCCATAGCAAGCAATTAATGTCAGGATAATAATATCAAATCGTCCAGGTTTTTTGGATTTTAACAAAAATCAATTATCAAAACTCTAGTTGAGAAACAATCTTGTCAGGTAATAATTTGACGATACGTTTAGTCCCGTTAGTACTTACTTTTAATGTAAAAAAATGGCAACAAAGTTTTTACAAATATCACCATAGAAAATTCGTGACGTAGTCAATTTAAGATGACAAATTAATATGTCGTTTATTAATGAAATCGGTGTGATTTAATTACTATTATGTTCACAAGGCGAGTCTGGCAAGCGGCAGAGAAGGTGACGGCCAACAATTTGAGCTGAATGTGGAAACCTTCAGTTCAGAGGACACTGTTACTCCGCAGGCATCCGGTTAATATCCTCATTATTTGTTTACTCACTTAATATCCTTATATATTTGTTTACTCACTTAATATTCTTATATATTTGTTTACTCACTTAATATCCTTATATATTTGTTTACTCGCTTAATATTCTTATATATTTGTTTACTCACTTAATATCCTTATATATTTGTTTACTCACTTAATATCCTTATATATTTGTTTACTCGCTTAATATTCTTATATATTTGTTTACTCGCTTAATATTCTTATATATTTGTTTACTCGCTTAATATTCTTATATATTTGTTTACTCACTTAATATCCTTATATATTTATTTACTCATGTCAGGTTTGTCTTGGCTACAATAAATAATTATAAATTCTCGTCCGTTGCATTGAACTACAATATAGATCATAATATTATATAATTATAATTCATATATATAGTGCGTTTATATATATATAATTTAATATCATGTATTTTAATTATTTTCATATTTATTATATCAATATATATATACAATATTACATATAGATATATAGATAGGTAACTTACAGGAAACTTATGAAACCTTAATAATTTCGTCGGTGCTACATGTTACATTAACAGTTTACTGGCATTGTGAGCACATATCATTATCCAGAGGAGCAGTGCGACTCTGTTTGCCTATATACTTACAAAACGTATTAAAGTAAGTTGCTATGGTACCAGGTGGACACGGTCCAGCAGATGATGACAGGAGGAGGAGGAGAGACGGAGCGTGTGGCCAGCGACTACAGTGAGCATCTGCACTCAGCTGGCATCTTCGCCGCCTGCACACTCGCAACCTATTGCGGCAGTCTGCGAAGCCTAGGTGCCGGCATGGATCCGAGCGGGAGTAACGAAGGCGACAGAGAGCCAGGCATTAAGCTGGTCCGAGTCAGCTTGCTCGGGCTCATCAAGGGTAACACAGCACGGATATTTAACACCCGGGAATTTTTCCTCCAGCGCAGTAGTTTCAGTTCTCCTTTTGTTTCTTCCGGTTCATTTCTCACCACTGTCAGTATCTAGGAGGAAATGCACTGCGTTTGTCTAACCCAGGTGCTTCTCTCTTTCCTTGTTGAAATCTCCTTCTTCTGTTGTGGTTAGGCACTTGCATGTACAGTTGAATCGTTGTATATCTGGTTAGGTAATTGTATGGAAATGCATTTAGCGAGCAAATGTCTTTAAAAAAATTTTAATTTAAAGAATAGAAAATTAAAGTCTTGAAGAATTTAATCTCTTGCGATGTTCGCTTGTTTAGGGCGGCCGGCAGATGTCAGTAGAGAGCCAGAGGAGCGATCCTTGGCGGAACGCGGCCAAACACAGGAGCATCCAGACATTTGGGCGACGCAGGGAAGACTCACCGATGAAGCCTCAGTGCAGGGAGGCTGACGGCTGATGCAGCCGAGAGAAGGAGACCTCATCTCCAATGCAGAGCCTCGCGGAGACTGAGCCTCGTCATGGACAATATTCCACCCGAGTCGCTGTCCGCGATGCAGCTGCCTCACGGACGTGCACGGTTTCCACGGCAACAGGAGGCGCGCGGCGGCGCGGAGCCGGCCAGGCGGCGCCGGCGGTCGTTCGCGCAGCGACGTGCGACGCGTCAAGCCGGTGCGGTAAAGGTGAACTGCGTCGCCGACAGCATGCACGCGGTGAGCGTCACCGTGCCGACGCCGCCGCCGCCGCGACCCGACCAGCGACCTCAGCGCGTTTGACCCGCTCGCGACCCCGTGCCACCGGCCGCCACCTATGACCGCTCGCGACCCCCGTGCCCACCGGCGCCACCTATGACCCGTGGCTCGTCAAGCTCGGACGACCCGCGAGCGACGCGGCGGCGGCGGCGGTGCAGCATTCGATCGACGAGTTCGACCCGTTGCGGAGCGGGCAGACGAGCGGGTTTACCGTGCCGTTGCCGCCGGCGACGACGACGACGATGATGAAGCCGGTGGCCATCGTCGACCCGTGGATGCCGCAGAACGACGTTGGGAGGATGTTCGCGCCGATCGATAACAGCCAGGAGAACCGGGGTTTCCAGCCGATACCTGGTCCGGGGATCCTGAAGACGAGAGGCAGTCTGGACGACGGACTAGCGTCCAGTTTACTACCCCTCTACCCTGGTGAGTGGGCACGATCGTTGTCGTTCGGGTGTTCGTGTGTGTAGCGTGATTGAATAAAATTTATATTAATAAATTAATTATTATTTTATTATTTGCGCAAAATTGGTTTAAATATGACTGTAGCTAATTTCATAATAAAATTTATATAATTATTATATTATTTTTTAAATGTATACTGTCTATGCAGCAGCGTGTAATTATTGTCTGAGGGGCAAAGTCGAAATAGCCATTTGATTTCCTGCCTGCAAATTATCCACACGTTGATTCTCTAGGTGACCACCAGCGGCCAAGTGATGCTAGTAGTATCGCTAGCAGTCTAGAGGTGGAGAAGGGACGAACAGGAAGTATTGGCAGCAGCAGTAGTAGCAGGGATGGTTCATTTGTGGACAGCAGTGCAAGGGAGCAGCAAGCAACGCAGCCACCGCCGCAGCAGATGAAAGAATCAGTTCCAAAATCGATCAGTTTTGATTCCAGCATAGATAGAGTGAGTGTTTTCTGCAACTTTCTCCATTAGCGTGTCCCACTTGAGATCAGTGTTTCCCATTTTATTAGTTCACTCTTTTTCACATATTGTAGGCAATTAAAACGACAAACAGTTGCTAATTTATACTTGGTATGCATGTTAACCAATATCAGGGAACAGATTAGCAGGCCAAAATTATGTCTTAAATGTAAGGATTTTTCAATTCATCTAATCCGAGTCCATGCTGTACAGGAGGACAACAATCAGCAAGGAGATAAAGATCAGCGTAAGAGTATTTTCAAAGGATTTGGACTTAAGTCGGTCTTTAAAGGTGTGTAAATGTCACCATGTGTTATTGATTTAAGATTAATAATAATAATACTTTAATATTAAGCATATCTTTTTATTAATATTTACAGGTATTAATTTAATCTAATACACAGAAATCTGTACAGATACTAGATTAATTAAAAAAAAAAACTGCACTTTGTTTCTTCGTTGAGAAACAACAACTTCTTATCAATTTTCGTTGAATCGTCTTCTTACAGTCTCACATTAAAAGGTGCTAAATTTTTGTAATTAATGTAAATCGGACAGTCTAAGCTATATTCTTCTCCACCTAGGGAAGCTGAGGAAAGGAGCTAAGTATGATGTAATGGGAAATAACGAGGCTTCGGGAAGTGGCGATGGCAGCGGGATCCGGCGAACTGCCTTGGATGATGGAAGCAAACCTGGTATTATTTATTTATTCCATCCATCATTCATTCAGAACGTCGCTACACGTTTGAACAGGGGAGACGGTGGAACAGAATTCTGTTTTGTATCTTCTATCAGTTTCTGTAAGAGCGGAATCAACAACGGTAACAATATTGAACTTAAAAAAAGCTTTTTAAAAGCAATCGAGAACCCAATCAAGCTATTCATGTCTGATGCTCGTGCACAATATATAATTATATATAATTATCGATGTCTTACGTGGCTGGTGGAATTCTTCAGTAGAGTCCGGAGATGACATCCTCGCTAAGTATCGCAAGAAACCGTCATCAGCGGCAGCAAATGAGCCTCAGGCTGCACCGCACAGTGGCTCCCCCGCGGCTGAAATCGACCCGAGCACGGCGTTGTGGGACGACTCTCAGTATCTATTTGCTGACACGAAACGCAAACTTAGAATCGTGCTGAGCATGGTAGACCTGACGACGACGCACTGGTCTTCCCCTCTGTCTGGTGAGTTGAAGTGAGAGTACATAAAAATGAAAGAGAGAGAGGGAGAGAAGGTGAGGGATAAGGGAAGAAGTCGGAGCACAGAAAAGTGGGAGCAGGAGATGGAAAAGATGAGTGAGAGAGAACTACAGATCTGTAAGGGGGCTTACATATGTAGTAAAATGAACATATTTGACAATGGAATTCCTTCACCCCACCCCTCTCAGTGTTTACTCCCAGAGCTTTACATCAACAATTTAATTAATATATGATTCTTCCTATGAAAATATTTCAGCTCAAGTTGATCAGGTTGAAAACCACCTGGTGGCATTTTTGAGAACTCAATTAGCAGAAGCCATTAACCTTCAGGACCGCTCACTTGTTGCACAGTTACATGAAACTCTACGATGTGTGCGCCAGTTCGATAAACCGGGGTAAGTGTGCAAAACGTGCCAAAGATGATGTAAAACATAACTTTGATTCTGCTGTGCAAAATAGTGTTTGCTTTAGTCTGTAATATAATTGAGCTCATCTGTCATAGCCCTTTGTAGCTTGTAGAAACTAAAGTAGTTTTAGCACTGTCTATGTGATGTACTATTCAACCTTGTTTAGCTGACAATGTGGGGTGCTATGGATTGCCTGCCATAGTTATTAAATGAGGTTGTTGTAGTATTGTGCTAATGCAAGACTTATTTATGACAAGTGCTTGTTTATTGCAAGACGGGGGGGGGGTCATGAACTAGCTGCCAACATTGTCACACTTTTTTTCTAATATTTGATTGACTTTCTCTTGAATCGTCCCTACTTACAATCACACTGGATTTATTAAATCATTATATTTTATTGATAATCAATGCTTCGTTAAACGACGTATGATTATGCTCGTTTATCTATCCCTTGTAAACACATTTTCTCAGTGTTATGGTAACTTGGCCAATCTAATGATATCGACTCGATCAATTTTTCACGGTCTGTAGTTTGCATCGGTCTTCTCACGGTCGATATCATTAATAGTCAAATGAGTAAGTTTGATTGCCTCCATTGCAGATGTTACATCGGTCCTCTAACGGTCCACATAGTTAATGGTCAAATAAGTTTGATTGCCTCCATTGCAGATGTTACATCGGTCCTCTAACAGTCCATATTGTTAATGGTCAAATAAGTTTGATTGCCTCCATTGCAGATGTTACATCGGTCCTCTAACAGTCCACATAGTTAATGGTCAAATAAGTTTGATTGCCTCCATTGCAGATGTTACATCGGTACCCTCTCGCGGTCCATATTGTTAATGGTCAAATAAGTTAGAGTGCCTTCATTGCAGATGTTACATCGGTCCTCTAACAGTCCACATAGTTAATGGTCAAATAAGTTTGAGTGCCTCCATTGCAGGTTTTACATCGGTACCCTCTCGCGGTCCATATTGTTAATGGTCAAATAAGTTAGAGTGCCTCTATTGCAGATGTAGGAAGCTGTTGGTGAGCTTGCAGGAAGACTACAGGCGGAGAGCTCCATACATAGCTTACCTCGTGCGATGCCGCCAGGCCCTGCTCGCAACACAGTGTCATCTTGACCGTCTGCTCAGGAGGATACAGAGGTGAACAGCGAGGCATTGTTACCCACGCTGGCATTAGCGTTGTCCGTGGTGTTCATGCAGTGTCGGCTGGCTTTCGTGCACTGCCACCTGGTGTTGTTGCAGTGTCGTCTGGCATTCATGCACTGCCACCTGGTGTTGTTGCAGTGTTGGCTGGCTTTCACGCACTGCCACCTGGTGTTGTTGCAGTGTCGGCTGGCATTCATGCACTGCCACCTGGTGTTGTTGCAGTGTCGGCTGGTATTCATGCACTGCCACCTGGTGTTGTTGCAGTGTCGGCTGGTATTCATGCACTGCCACCTGGTGGCGTTGCAGTGCTACGTATCGTTCCTGTGAATATTAGGATTAATAGGATATAAGGATATATAAGGTTTATTGAAGGTCTGTGGAAGTGTGTTAATGTCTTCAAAGCAGTATGCAGCATATGAGTGATACTAGACCGCACTTAATTTGTATTTCTGGTACTAGAGACAAGTTTGAAGTCGTTAATGTGAAAGTCGAGTAATCGTTGGAAATTTCGGTCTTTGGAAAACTGTTTGGGGGAAAGGACCGCTTTTGGTATTTAAAATAAAACTGTTAGGGGGAAAGGACCGCGCTGTAGTAATGTGGTGGAGAGTTTAATAATTGCGTGTTACGCATGTGGTACAGGGAGAAAACGATATGCAGCAAGTACATAACACTTGTGTGTGTGAGGTTCTACCTCGAGAAATACGAAGGCAAGATCCAGCGATTCATAAGTGACTTCAAGAAGCTTGATGTATCCGATGAAAAGGTAGGATTCTCGCTGTTTCTATACACATTTTCTAAGCACATCATGATGGTCTGTAAGAGGTTTGTGTCCATGCTAACAGCGAAAGGTGCATTCCTGTCGCTACATTGTTCTACTTATCTATGTCTACATATTCAACATGTGAGATTTGGTAGCATAACTGGATAAGTAAATAGACAATAAAGAATTAATACAATTTCACACACAATACATTTGCATAAGGTGTTCACTAAGTCACACAAAAGGGATCAATTATCCGGTAAGGCAACAATTCATAGTTAGTCATCAGATTCAACCCATGCACAACACCTACAAAATTACACCTACCTTGTTTATTTTCAAGTCTCTGTGGTTTGGTGTTATGACCTTTGATAGTTTCTTTATGTGTTCCTGGAGCAACCTATGCCAAAACAAAACAGCCTTAAAATGACACCACGCAAACATTCGATACATTCACTGGCACACACTTTCCCAATCTTACTGACTTCTTCACAAACATTCACAATCGAGACAAATCTGCTATCGGAGCCACTGACCTATATATTACACACGAACACACACAGGACTATACTTACTGATCTCTCAGAATGTCACCGTCGCCGTTTGGATAAATGGCGTAGATGTAGATTTGTGACATCAGGCTACGTTCTACAGCCTGCTGGGCATCCATTAGTTGTCGCTCGTTCGAATGCTGCCATGTTGGATCCTGCTCCAACTTCTCGTACATGTACTTGAGAAACTGCTCAACAAGATCCGTCTGCCAAAGCGAGAAAAAAACACATCACAGCAACGAAAACATATATTCACGTATTAACATGCCTTTCTGTCATAACACAAAATACAATATGGTGACCAAATAAGTATATTTTTGAAAGCTAGAGCAAAAACGCTGTAACACGGTTTAGGTATTCCTACACGAGTGCCCGTGGCCATCAGCACAAGCAGAAATTGTCACTATCAACGCCTATAAGGTATATACCTATTGTTCTACCTACCTATTGTTTCCTATACTGTCTTCTACATAGCAACCTTGACTGGTAACCTTTTAAGGGCCATCCATCTTCATTAATTACTAACAGTGGTAGTCGGGGAAGCAGAAACATCAGCACCAAGTCACTGTACATTTTTAACAGGGTAACTTCATCCATTCCTGTAGTACAACTGACAAAGAAGGGTGTGAAACTTCGAATCCCTCCCTCACACCCGTGAATCTCTTGCTTTGGGTTTAATTATTTTGGGGTGAATGAAAAAAATAATTTAGTTGCAGGTGAATGAAATTTTGTGATAAAGACTCGAGTATGAATGACATTGAAATCGTTTAAGAAGCACTGGCTTACGTAACGAGTGTGCCCAGCTTCCCTGCATCAACCCGCCACCGCTCGTTCTCAGGCCACAATTAAAAAAATCTTTGTTTGCCCTCACCCTACTCAGGCTGAAAAGTTTGGGTAGGTAGGTGGTTTTTTTGCGGGGGGTCTTTTTACAAATTCAGCATGGTGTCTACATGCTCGTGAGTGGAGATACTTTTTATGTTGAATGTTTGTTTTGCTTGGTACATATAATGTATTGCCTACAGATTTATATAATGTACAGTGATACAATTTGTAAAAAAAAAAAAGAATGGGAAGGATCGATAACATTTTTTGAGTCGGCCCCTTTTTGGCAGGTCGGTCGGGTGAGGGCAAACAAACATATTTTTATTATGGCCCCACTGATCTCACGCTGCCGCTGCTGTTACAGACGCCCAAGGATAAGCTGCAGTGTGTCATTCGCTGCTGTTCGACGATCATGAATCTGCTGAGTTTAGCCAGTGACAAGTCGGTCCCTGCTGCCGACGACTTCACTCCAGTCATCGTGTAAGTTGCATCTCCGCTGTCATGTCGTCGTGCCATAACTGCGGCCAATCAGTTGCGCAGTCGTCATGTCGTCGTGCCATAACTGCGGCCAATCAGTTGCGCAGTCGTCA